GATTTGTGTTTTTAGCTCTCTTTCATGTTGCTTACTAACCTCACCTTGTTTTCTGTACACATACATCATTTTGATTTATTTGTCTGTTCTCTTATGTATACCCCTTCAGGTGTCTTCAAGAGTGTAACAAAGAAGGTTTACAATTATAAAAATACTCGGATCATTTCGAATCAAATACCTCGCTGCCCTTTGACAGTGTCGTTACTTTTTTTCCTACAAAATGGTCAATTCGTGCAAGATTTCTCACCTCGAAGTTGAGATATTAGCTAACAGTTCTCAGGTGGCCCAAAAGCGCCAGGTTGTGTTGTGAGAATATACTATGCCCACGTTGCAATCGGTTCACTCTTTACGGGCAGGCGCTCTGTTTGCTTATGTGTATTGCCTCATTTTTCCAATGGCAGCTTCTTCTGAAGATAATCTCAAAAGGAAGCGTGGTTAATGGGGGATGCATGCCTTCTAAGATGATGCTTTTCAGACGTTAAAACAAGCACCCACTTGCTGCCCAATACTACGTAACTTCCACTATGCCTTGAGCACTGAAGTGCACAATAATATCAACCATGTTGATTTGGGGCTGGGCTAGTGCGGCTTCATTATAGGTGTCATAGAGCATGTTTCTTATGCCAGGTGCCGAGTTTCAGATGTAAAGCGCTACTATCCCTCCAGTGAGCTGGAACGTCTAGCCGTTTGATGGAGTGTGTAAAGAAAACTATGACATTAGGGTGCATTAGCATGAGCGTGAGTACACATGATAGATAGGCACGCTGCAAAAATATCATATCGACCTACATCATCACACCAGGGGCTTAATAAAAACACCAATGCTATCTCTTAGAACACCTCTGACTGCATGCTGAATACTGGAAAAACAAATACGTAGTTTTGGCTTAGTTAGACACTCTCAAGCCAAAATCGGGAGATGAAACAGGGCCCTCCTTACTGCGCACATTGCTGATACATATATGCCATCAATTCCGGCTGCAAATCGTGACAGTGACGAATTCGCATTTCTGTTTCTGTCCAGTTATGTTCCGAGTGCATTCATGTACGGTCCTTGTCCCGCTTTTTTTTTTCAATCTGTATCGACGAGCCTAAGCGCTTGTCTTCTTGTCTCTTTGTCATCAATATATATAACAACATATAACATTCCCAACTTTTTTTTCTGCTCTAATGTGTGTGGCTTCTTAAGATTTCATTAAACTTTCCCTAACCTCAATAACAAACTGATTAATAATCCACAGAATTCATCCGGCTGTGCTAACCACCATCAACAGTTTGAGGTAACCTTTTCCCATATAACTTTTTTTAGATGCCCCACCTACATTTATTTCACTCCAAGTACTTCTGCATTAAAATTTGCCATTGAAGAGCATTGCTCAAAAGAGCTGCCAACAAATATGTGATGTTTTGTTCTAACTACCACTGTTCTTCTTTACACCATTGTACCATTGTTTGTTCTAACTACTATCGTTGTAACTACCGTTCATATTGAAGGTATTGACATCAGTAAATAGATAGAGCACACCTGCCCTGTGAATATTTTACGAACGAGCTTCAGTCTGGATATGGAGCGAATAATGCTTATGTTGGCCCCATGTCGCACCTCCAAAAGAGAAATGGGAGAATGAATGGAATTGTCAAAGTAACAACAAATGTTTTGATTTCAACAGTTGCAGGCAGTCTGAATTTATGAGGAATGATGATAGCCAGGTTATGGCCAAAAGTGCCAAAATAAACGCTTTAAAGTTAAGTGTTCTCACGGCAACTTTTACAACCATGCCTAAATATAAGTCAATAACAGAGAAGAAAACACGTACGAAACACGGCTAATTAACGTCAGGCTGGTACTCCGTACAATAATGAAGGCTCTGTGTCATGGAGCCTCGCCCATCTGAATTTCAACATGTGACATAAGTCTGTATTTTCGATTCCCCCCCCACACAAATATATATATATATATATATATATATATATATATATATATATATATATATATATATATATATATATATATATATATATATATATATGGGAAAGAAGCCTATACCTAAGGGGTCGTTTTTGGTGTTTTCACGCAATATTATTGAGATACAACAGACAATAATGCCAGGGAATGCATAGATGAAGTCATTAGAACCAATGCAATGCAAACAAGAAGAAAAAAATGTGGGTGAAAAAATAACCCGCCGAGAGCAGGAATCGAAGCCAACACTTTCGAATAACGCGTTCGATGCTCTAACCACTGAGCTATAACGGCGGCTATCCCCCCAGGCACTTTATTGGGTTTATATGTGTTTTTTAAACGTGAAAGTGTCAGCTCCATCTGTAGCCATGGCGGCGAGTGTGAAACACCGTTTTATGAGCCTGTGTGGCGTCACATAGCACTTGAACTTATAACGAGCGGGCAGCTGACCAATAGTCCCTCGTGTACAACCTAACAGCCCCTTCCGTATATATATATATATATATATATATATATATATATATATATATATATATATATATATATATATATATATATATATATATATATATATGTGTGTGTGTGTGTGTGTGTGTGTAATTCCAACGTCTCGGCGTCTACTCACAGCAAGTTGTCTTTTCACCCACTTTTCGTTGTTCACATTGAAATTACAATATCGTCTAATAACTTCCTGTATACTTTCCTTGTCAATATTGTCTGTTAGATCTCATAAATATTGTGTGAAACACAGAAAAACAATTCCTTAAGTATACACCTTTTTTCTTAATTCACTCACGAGGGTCTCGTTATGGCAGACTTGGTAACTTTAGATTGTATACGAAATGCTGTTGGTCAGCTGCCAGCTCGTAAAGCTTGTAATAAGTTCACGTGCTACGTGGCGTCATACAGGCTCAAAAATAGTGTGCCACGCTCGCTGCCTTGGCTACTGGTGGCAATGACTGACACTCCCTGTTAATTCACATATGTACTCGATAAAGTGGCTGGGAGGATAGCCAACGCAGTAGCTTAGTTGGTAGAGAGTCGAACCCGTTATTCGAAGGTAGTGGGTTCGATTGCTGTCCACGGCAAGTTGTCTTTTCACCCTCTTTTCTTTCTACAAATTGACAATACGATTTCGTCTCATAACTTCTGCCTGTATACTTTCCTTGACGATATTGTTTCTCAGATTTCACACACATATATATATATATATATATATATATATATATATATATATATATATATATATATATATATATATATATGTATACATATTGCAAGGGGGTTTAATAGCGAAGCCAGGTAAAAGGCAGACAGCCGGTACGGAAACAAATGCTCGGGCAGTACAGCGTCTACAGCTCGTGCTCCCGCTCGCGCTTCACACTCAGCGATGGTCCCACTAGTCATTGCCTTGCGAATTCCCCACTACGATGCCCCGGCGACGAAGACGAGCCATTCTGGCGACTCAAGGTGACGAGAGAACAGGAGGGTCGTAACAGGGCTTGAGGCGACTGACGTGGACCGTCTCACGACCAAGGCGGCGCTTGTCCGTGGACGGCTTGAGCGGTCCAATCGCATAGGTGACAGAAGAAGGGTGCTGTATGACGCGGTAAGGGCCCGTATACTTCGGTGCAAACTTGGGAGTCAGTCCAGCAGAGTGGAAAGGCAGTTGGAGCCACACGAGAGAACCGACGGGGAAGGTATTCTGATCTTTTTGGAGTGCTTGGTTATCGGCTGTGAAGGACCGTACAAGCTGACGACACTCTTCGGCATGTTCGGCCATTTCAAAAACTGGGCTGAACTCGGAGGCATCAGGATTGTATGGCAGAATTGTGTCGAGTGTGTTGCATGGGTCACAACCATATAAAAGAAAAAATGGAGAAAAGCCTGTTGTTGATTGAATCGCCGTATTGTGGGCG